CGCACTCAAAATGCCAACTATTATGCTCAAGCTTGACATATCAAAGGCGTTTGACTCCATTCAGTGGTCGTTCATCATCGAGGTTTTGACACGCTTGGGCTTCAGGAGGAGATGGATTTCTTGGATGTGTGGCTTGTTGGCTACCTCCTCCACGCGTGTCATGATCAATGGAATTCCTGGGAAACCAATCTACGCTTGCAAAGGGCTAAGGCAAGGGGCTGCGCTGTCCCCAATGGTATTCATATTGTGCATGGAACCCCTTCATCGTCTCTTCAAGCTGGCCGCGGAAAAAGGATTGCTAGCACCGCTGGCCCGTTCCAGCGCACATCAAAGGGTCTCCATGTTTGCGGATGATGTGATGGTGTTCTTCAAGCCGTTGGAGCTGGAGTCCAAGATGTGTAGAGCAATCTTGGACGAGTTTGGACGTGCGTCTGGGCTTTGGGTGAACCTGGCGAAGAGCGCAACAATGGGCATTCGATGCACTCAGGAGAGCCTCAATGAGGTCTGCAATCTGCTTGGCTGCTCGAGTGGGACTTTCCCTTGCAAGTATTTGGGGCTTCCACTTACAATCCGCAAGCAATCAACGGCGCAGCTCCAAGGCCTTGTGGACCAACTGGCTAATTACCTCCCAAGCTGGAGGGCAGCTCTAATGCCTAAGAGTGGACGCTTAATTCTAATAACATCAGTGCTCTGTGAGGTCCCTATCCATGCCATGCTCGCATTGGATATACCACCCAAGACCTTATCAGCGATGGCGCGTATCTGCCGAAGCTTTCTATGGTGTGGCAAGAAGGAGGCCAGTGGAGGGAACTGCTCAGTGGCTTGGGACATGGTTTGCCGGCCGAAGTGGGCTGGCGGCTTAGGCATTCCAAACCTACGTTGGCTCAATGTAGCCTTGCAACTGAGGTGGCCGTGGCTTCAAAGGACAGACAAGCTGAGGCCATGGTCAGGATTATCCATTTCAGTGCCTAAGGACTCGATGGCAGTGTTCCACGCAGCGGCGAGAGCTGTGGTCGGCAACGGGAAGGATACACTATTTTGGGAGGATCGATGGCTGCAGGGTTTCCGCATCTATGAGCTCGCACCGCTGATATATGACAGGGTTCCCAAACGGATAAGGCGGACGCGCACAGTTGAGGCAGCTGTGGAGGATGCAGCATGGGCAGGAGACATTGGGCCCGACATTACTGAGGCAGTGTTACAGCAATTTCTGCGACTTTGGTCAAGAGTAGAGACGGTCCAGTTGGATCCAGACACGCCGGACTCGGTTTGCTGGGCATGGGAGAAGGATGGCGCGTTCTCTGTGCGTTCAGCGTACGCGGCAAGGTTTGCGGGACTTGAGGTGGAGCCTACGGCTGCATTCACTTGGGGATCGAGAGCACCTCTGACATGCCGTTTCTTTGCATGGCTTGCACTCAAGAATCGGTGCTGGACCTCCGACAGACTTGCCAAGCGCGGGCTGCCGCACCAGGACGTGTGCCCTTTCTGCGATCAACAAGAGGAAACTATGAATCATCTAATGGTGAGTTGTGCCTTTTCGAAAGAAGTGTGGCATTGGATGAGCATAGCCACAAACCAGCCGGAGATGGAGCCTGGCAATGACGATAGCCTCGCCTCATGGTGCTTAAGGCAGGAACAACGACGAGACCAACGGCGGACCACACGAGCCTTATGCTTGCTGGGCATGTGGGTGATTTGGAAGCACAGGAACGACACCGTCTTCAATGGCGCAAGCCCCTCCACAGCACAAGTACTCGGACGGATCGAGCGGGAAGGGCGTGCATGGAGACAAGCAGGGCTCTTGAAAGGGGATTTGGATGGAGTGTTTGCGGGGCTCGCAAGGTGGGGTTTGGGTGAGTAGTCGAACATGTAGTTACCCCATGTGGAGGTGGATGCCCGAGGCATGTAAATATTATGTACCTGTGTGGATGGGAGTCTTTCCCCTTCTTCTTTATAAAATGATACGCACACTCGTGCGTATTCGAGAAAAAAACTTTGGTACGTCCACATCACTATCACGACGTTGCTGGCCAAGCCGGTGATACACAATTTTTCCCTTCCGAATCCCATAAAAAAAAGAAAAGAAAAGGAAGGTTAAACCTCATGGGTCTCTGCATTCGTTGATATGCGCAATCATAATAATTTTTTTTGCGATGGTAAGAGAGTTTTATTTCATATGCATAGGGTTACAATCGAGAGGCAGCAACTCCTCAATACAAGGTAGACCTCTACAAAGCCATACAACAATAGTGCTCTCTGTATGGCTATACAATGCCAACCGATGTGCTACCCTATTTTGCTCACGTTTTATTATCGAAGGAATAAATTCTCGGTCAACCATGTGATGCCGAATCTCCGCTACCAAATGTCCATACGCAGATCATAATATTATTGAACTTAATGTAAGACAGTAAGATCAAAATCATCAATATTCGGGATTATACGAGGACAAAATATGAAAAGGTTAATTATGTCCTACAAAATTGGGAGTATATCCTATGAATAACTAATCAGAACAAGATATGAAAAAGGCTACATATGTCTAAGCCGCTTGTGTTGTAACAACGTCTTCAAGAAGGCCGTGGCAGGCTGTAAATTCGAGGAAACATGATGAGATAGATCATGAAGGATGGATGAAGAAGGCGAGCACCCGCAAAAAAAAAAAGAAAAGAAGAAGGCGAGAAGGGTGGCTTGGTCTGAATCCTTGCATAATGGAATCTTACGAGTGTGATGATGCAGAGCTCCAGTGGTAATTTTCCAGGAAAGGAAAGCTGTAGCGACATGCATTTGGACTCTGGAATCGGTATGAAAATGTGTTACTAATTTGGACGTGATTGACGCCTAGATTGTAGTATACCGGTGGAGGGACTATACATGGCACTCGACGCTCGACGGTCTCGGCCGACGGGCAAGAGCAAAGCCTGGCTTGGCCTGCTCGCTCCAGACGTACGTACGGTGGCTCGTCACCCCGCATCCGCAGACGATAGCAGAACGACCGGCCGGCCCGCGCGCGAGGGGCCAGGCGTCGCAACACCGATGGTTTTTTTATCCCGGCCGTGCGACGACACGTCGTCGTGACCACGACCGACGCTCGCCCGCCCGCCCGCAGTTATTTCGGGCCATCCATACATCCATCCACCCCCTGCCACGGTGACCAGAGAGAGGCGGGAGGAGAAGCGATGCGGGGCACGTCGTCGGCTCAAAACTCCTCACCGGCCCCGTCACGTGCGCGCCCGCAGCGCACGCCTCGTGCCGCCCCCACCCCACGTAAATAAGCAGCTCGCTCGCTCGCGGCGCCGAGCTCTGCAGCGGCTATTGGGACGGACGGACGGACCGTTGGTCGGCTCCCGTTCGTCGTCAACACACCGATAAGCTCGCGCCGCGCCGACGAAGAGGAGCGACGGCGGTCTCGAGTTCTCGACCCCCAGCGGTGGCGGCGGCGGCGGCTACAGAGGTCAACACTGGCATCATCGCTTGGACTAGAAAGGTCTTCTCGTTGTCGGGAATCGTGCTTGATCCAGGGGAAAAGGAGGGATTTTATTTTTATATATATTTGATTCATCTTCTTGGAACCAGTGCCCGGGGTTGCTGTTCTGGGCGTGGGCTCCGGGACTGCAAAGGGGTCGGGTCGTCAATGCGGAAGGGGGGTGGGGTTCGGTCTTCTCCCCTGTTTCTCCGATGATCGCCGCCTTCTCCTCTGCGCCGCGGCCGGCGGTCGAGCATTGCCCGAGATTTCCGCCCAGGTTCCCCGCGGATTCATCGCAGGGCCGCGATTCGCGGCTCTTGTCGATTTTATTTTTCTCCAAGTCAGACTTGTACCTACTGTTCGTCTTCTTCTTCCCCTTCCGCCTTGGTTCTTCCTTTTCCCCTCTTGGTTGATTGCGAACGGCGAGGCGCTCCATGATCACTGCCGCCGCTGTGATCTCTGTGCCGCGAGAGCCAGGAAGCTCCTGTGTCCCCATGGATTGTTTTCCGTGGAATCTGAACTCTCTGATCTCGCTCCAGCACGAGCAGTTTTCAGGAGATTTTGTTCCTTGTCCGTATCTCCATTAAAAACAGTATCTGCCCCTTGTCCTCACTGCTTTCTTCCTTTGACCATGTGCTGGTCGCTGCAGGGCTGCAAACAACACAGCTGATCTGATCCACAAGGAAGCGCGATACAGCAGTAGAGATCCATCGAACAGATGGGTTCCCTCACAGGTAATTCGCCTCCCCAACCCCCTCTTTTTAAAATTCTGTTTTTCAGTCTGTGCACATAGCTGAATAATTGGTGCTACCTTGCTGACCATCAACCACTAATGTCGGGGGGGTTGCCAAAACTGAAATCTGGACATCTCACCTCACTCTAGTACTGTAGTACATGGCTAAATAATTTTTCAGATTCGGCGGTTACCAAAACTGAAATCTCATCTCACTCTGGTACTCTGTAACTGTACTTCAGGTTCTTCTTGGGTGATGAGCTTGTGTGGGAGCCCAATATGCTCCGACCAAGATGTGGCCTCATGTGCGTTCAAGGAGATATTCAACGCCTATACCTGCCTGAATCATCTAGTGGCGACCGGCATCGCCGTGCTGCTCGTGTTGGTGCTCGCGCTCCAGCTGCTTGTGAAAATTCCCAAGAGCAGAGCGTCTGCGCGGCAGCTCGTCACGCTCAGCTCACCGCTGCACTTGTCTGCTGTGGTGTTCAGTGGCACCTTGGGTTTGGTTTATCTTGGGCTTGGATTGTGGATGCTGGGGAGTGGCTTCAATCAGGATGCTTCTGCTTACCTTCCACACTGGTGGCTTGTGACAGTATCTCAGGGACTGAATTTGATCCTCACCAGCTTTGCTTTCAGCATCAGGCCTCGGTTTCTTGGGCCGGCATTTGTCCGATTTTGGCCGGTCTTGCTGACCGTCTACGCGGCATTCGTCTGTTCTTCTTCTGTCGTTGATATTGTTGCAGAGAAGGCGCTGACTGTTAAGGCCTGTTAGATGTCCTGTCCCTACCAGGTGCAGTTCTCATGCTTATTTATGGCATTCGGCATAGCCATGATGAAGAGGGTCATGGAGGAAGTGGCAATGGTTTATACAAGCCCCTGAACACGGAGACAGACAGTGAGGTAGCTGATTCTGACAGTCTGGTAACACCCTTTGCTAAAGCTGGTTTTTTCAGCAGGATGTCGTTTTGGTGGTTGAATCCTCTGATGAAGATGGGCTATGATAAGCCCCTTGAGGACAAAGACATGCCGCTTTTAGGCGCCACAGATCGAGCACAGAACCAGTACTTGATGTTCATGGAGAAGCTGAACCGCGAAAAGCAGTCGCCATCGCAGGCCACACCATCATTCTTCTGGACTATTGTTTCTTGTCACAAGCGTGCCATCTTGGTCTCAGGTTTCTGTGCTTTGCTTAAAGTTCTCACCTTGTCTACTGGCCCAGTGCTTCTCAAGGCATTCATCAATGTATCACTTGGGAAAGGGTCCTTTAAATACGAAGGCTTTGTGCTTGCTGCGGTAATGTTCGTCTGCAAATTCTGTGAATCGTTGTCACAGAGACAGTGGTATTTCCGCACTCGGAGATTAGGATTGCAGGTGAGGTCATTTCTGTCAGCAGCTATTTATAAGAAACAGCAGAAGCTATCAAATGCAGCAAAAATGAAGCACTCTTCTGGAGAAATTATGAACTATGTGACCGTCGATGCCTACCGGATTGGGGAATTTCCGTACTGGTTCCATCAAACATGGACAACAAGTGTTCAACTTTGCATTGCTCTGGCAATTCTGTACAATGCGGTCGGCGCTGCAATGCTTTCATCATTAGTTGTAATCATCATCACAGTACTTTGCAACGCGCCATTGGCCAAACTGCAACACAAATACCAGAGTAAGCTTATGGAAGCACAAGATGTGAGACTGAAGGCCATGACCGAGTCATTAGTTCATATGAAGGTCTTGAAACTTTATGCATGGGAGGCTCACTTCAAGAAGGTCATTGAGGGGTTGAGAGAGGTTGAGTACAAGTGGTTGACAGCATTCCAGCTTAGGAGAGCATACAACAGTTTCCTGTTCTGGTCATCACCTGTTCTGGTTTCGGCAGCGACCTTTCTAACATGCTATCTTCTGAAAATTCCTCTTGATGCTAGCAATGTCTTCACCTTCGTGGCAACTCTGTGTCTCGTGCAAGACCCAATCAGGCAAATACCGGATGTTATTGGCGTCGTGATACAAGCTAAGGTCGCGTTCACTCGGATATCGAAGTTCCTTGATGCTCCTGAGCTAAACGGGCAAGCTAGAAAGAAATATTGTGTTGGCATTGATTACCCTATAGCGATGAATTCGTGCAGTTTTTCATGGGAGGAGAATCCATCAAAATCAACTCTGAAGAATATAAATCTGGCAGTCAAAGTTGGAGAAAAGGTTGCCATTTGTGGAGAGGTAGGATCAGGGAAGTCCACGCTTTTGGCTGCTGTACTCGGGGAGGTCCCCAAGACTGAAGGCACGGTATGTTTTTACGAATTTTATCTTTTAATGAAACTAGCTAATACTTGTGGGCTGCTATGGAAATTAATCGCTGGTGCATTGCTAAATTTTTTATTTTTATTGCATGATTATTTAAACACTTGGGTCGTTGTAATTTTTAGTTTTTTCAACTGAAAAAATAACTGAAAATATGCATTAAAAATATCTCAAATATACATCAATCGTGATACATCTGTGTACTATATAGAATGTACGATAATTGTGGCAATTAATTTCTTGACAACTTAAGAGGTAATGTCTTAGGGGGTGAAGGAACCACCACCAGCTCCGAGCTTTATAAGAGTGAAGATAGTTGCCATCTTCAGAATGTAGACATTTAGACATGTTTAAAAGAAACATAGTCTGTTGACAACAGCATCATGTTCACTTTGCAAAGTTGTTATGAAAATTGGCGCTGGTCCTGCTACAAGGCGACCTTCCATTGCTCTGTCAGCTGCAGCTCCAGGAAGCTCACATGGAAGTCCTGGGCGCCCAGGCAGGTGAAATTCTTCTTCTGACTGGCCGCCAAGACCTGCCTCACGGTCCATCATGCATGTTCCTCCTTGTGGACTGCCTGTTCTCCAGGGTTGTATGGTGGGAAGTCCTCTCCTGGACCCATGCCCCCTTCTGTGGCCCCATCCCTGGCGAAGCCTTCATCGACTGGTGGCACACTGCTAAGCAAAGGACGCAGAAAGAGCGGCGCAAAGGCCTTGCAAGCGTGTGCTCCTCACATCCTGGATGCTCTGGAAGCACTGGAACACATGCACCTTTGATAACTTGCATCCTGACCACCACAGCCTTCTTAGGG